TGCAATATGTTAGTTATTGAAACTGTCCTACCAATTTGGTTTGAAACTGTCTCATTGCTATTTGTTTCTCAATAAAATTATGGGGAAAAATTTTTTTAAAAAATAAAAATTTTCAAAAAAAAAAAAAAAGTATGCTGGGTTTCAGCCCGGGTGCTGAGTGCTCCATGACCACATCTAGCTGTTTCAGTGTCAAAGTTCACTTGTCATCACATACCAGAGTGGTGGTGGCCTCAGACCAGGATTTCTGCCTTCAGGGACACCTTTTCCCAGAGCCTGGAGGACCCCCTCCCAAAGAGGCATCCTTGAGATTTGGGGGACTCTCGGGTCGGGGAGCAGCGTAGGCCTTGGGGCAGTGGGTGGGCCAGGCGGCAGAGCGGGCAGGGATGACACCGTCGCTGTCTCCCGCAGTCGCACCTGTTCGTGCTGCAGCTGGTGCACCGGCCCTCCGTGCGCTCGGTGCTGCAGGGCCTCCTGAAGAAGCGCCTCCTGCCGGCCGAGCACTGCATCACGAAAAGTGAGTGTCGGGAGCCGGAGGTGGCGCCCGAGCTCTGTGCCTGCCCCCTTCCCCCCTACCCACGCTCCCGCCCCCGCAATCAGCCGAGCCCGTCGCTCCTTGCACCCCATATCCCACCAGGCAGTTGTCTGTTCGCGTTCCCACACAGCGCATGGAGAGCAGAAGCCACAGAAGGGGCTTTTCGCTGACCCAGTAAATCAGAGAAGTGCCAGGCTGTGTTTCTGCCAGCTTTGCAGAATCCCCTGTTCCTAGCAGAAGGGGGGCGTCTGTTCTGCAGAGCTGTGACACCCCTGCTCATGCCCCTGCTCAGCTTGCCAACTCTATCCTTAGGGGAGGGGAGCCAGGGCTTGCCTAGGAGCATGCCCAGTGCAAACCAACCTCTGGGAGCTGGCCCCACCCTCACCTGCCCGCGCCCTGCCCCCACAGTCAAGCGGAACTTCAGCAGTGTAGCAGCTTCATCAGGCAGCACAACCCTGAACGGGGAGGACGGTGTGGAGCAGACGGCCATCAAGGTGTCCCTGAAGTGTCCCATCACATTCCGGCGCATCCAGCTGCCTGCTCGAGGCCATGATTGCAAGCACGTCCAGGTGAGGGGCACAGGACCAGCCGCCTGGGGTCTGTCAGGGTTGTCAGGAGTGGGACCTATCTCCTGCCTTCCAGGGTGTGTTCAGCAGCTGATGTCACTTCCACTGTCATTTACCTCTGTATCTCAGGCCTGGGTCTTCACTCTGGCAGGTGGTAGGCACCGGCTAGAAATCCTGCCCAGCTCTTCCAGTGGGGTTCAGGACCAGAGCAAGGCTACCTCTGTCTGGTTTGCTGCTATGTCTGGGGTTTTGCCCTGATCAGGTGTCCAGGATGGGCCCTGAAGTAAGTGGCTGTCACAGTCCCCAAAGTCTATGACAGACCTCAGAAAGATGGGCATAACCCAAGTGGGAGAGATTCATTGTGGGGGGCTGCTCGGGAAGGTCTTCCAGAAAGGGGATACAAGAAGCCATTCCTGCAGACGCTATAGTGAGCACACAGGGTGGCCCTCAATGTCATTGCCAGTCCCACCTTGGTAGCTCCAGGGCCTCTCCTGCTGGGAAAGAATGCTCTATAGATGATGGGCAGTGAGGTCCCTGTATCTGGCACAGGTGGATGAGCTTGACCAGATTGTCCTTGGTGTCTGGGCTGGGCAAGAGGGTGGCTAGAGTCCATGCTGCCACTGGGCTCAGTGAGAGAGGCCATTATGGGGCAAAACAGCAAGAGGCAGTTGGGCACAGGGTCAGGTGCGGGGGGGGGGGTAGACACAGACAGTGGCTTGAGGGACGCTGGGACTCTGGCTCCCGCATGAGCAGCGGAGGGGTGGGATAGCCCTTTGTCTGGGTTATGTTCTCATCTCTGGAATGCGGTACCTGACATCTACCAAGGAGGAGAGGTTTACGTGAACTCAGGTCTCAGAAGTTTGGGTCCGCGCTGAGCAGGCTTACACACAGAAGTAGCACAACAGGGCGCATAGTGCAGGAAAAGCTCACACCATGGCTGCTGGGTAACTGACAGAGAAGAGAGGAGGGAGCTGGAGAGAGAGAGAAACACCGTAGACGCTTCAGGGCCACCTCCACTCCCAGCCTGGGACCTGGCTTTTCTGACCAGACCCTCTCCCCCAACACAAGTCAGCTGTCAGCCCCTGAGATGCAGTCTCCTCCCAGAAGTCCTGCCCAGGATTTTGTGGAGCTTGGGAGCAACTTTAGATCTCAACCCCCTCGCCACAGGTGTGGCGAGGCAATTTCTGACAGTCCTGATCTCACCCGTCTGTCTGTCTGTCTGTCTGTCTGTCTGTCTGTCTGTCTGTCTCTGGCCTCTGTAGTGCTTTGACCTGGAGTCATACTTGCAGCTGAACTGCGAGAGAGGGACCTGGAGGTGTCCTGTGTGCAAGTGAGTGTCGCCACCTGGCCTTCCTCTGGGCCTCCACTTTGGCCTCTGCCTCCCCTGAAATGAAAACAAAGCTGAGTACCTTGCCAAGGGGACTGAGGTTCCGGGAGCCCCATCATGTGGCTGCCAGCAGCAGCAGGGCAGGCTGTCCTGGGCACAGGCAGGAGGGTGGGCTGGACCCCCACCTCTTCATGTCCAGGAGCTAAGCCCCAACCCCCTCTCTTCCAGTAAAACTGCTCTGCTCGAGGGCCTAGAGGTGGATCAGTACATGTGGGGGATCCTGAACGCCATCCAACAGTAAGTAAGGCCCCTGCTACGTTGGAGGGGAGCAGGAAGAACGCAGAAGCCCTGACTACTTCCTGGCCGGGCTGCACACTCTGCCCACACCCCACTGCCTAATGCTATACCTCGGGGCTTCTGGGTCTGAGAGCAGTGGGCTTTCCAGAAGGACCAGGACCCAGCAGGCAGGACACCAACAGTGCCCAGAGAGGCTCCTGGGCCTTCCCAACTGCAGGGCTCTACACTGGGCATGGTGTGGCACAGGCCAGGGGCCTGGCATGAACCTCTCTGCAAGGCCAGCACCCAGGAACCTCAGCCCTGCCCTTGTTCTTCCTCAGCTCTGAGTTTGAAGAGGTCACCATCGACCCCACGTGCAGCTGGCGGCCGGTGCCTATCAAGTCAGACCTGCACATCAAGGATGACCCTGATGGCATCCCCTCCAAGCGCTTCAAGACCATGAGCCCTAGCCAGATGACCATGCCCAACGTCATGGAGATGATCGCCGCCCTGGGCCCAGGCCCATCGCCCTACCCACTCCCACCTCCCCCTGGGGGCACCAACTCCAATGACTACGGCAGCCAAGGTGGGTCCTGGAGGGAGACAGAGGCCGCGCACAGGGCTTCCTTGCTGAGTGATTCTGAGATGGTGGCCTCCTACCTTTGCATAGTATTCCTTAAGGTTCCCATCAGCAAAGTCACCAATGAAAGACCCCTCCGCATTATTTTTTAATTTTTGAAAAGGGCGAGGGCCTGTGTAGGTCAGATTGCAAGGGCCCTGTATTCACTCCCCAGTGCTGGCGTGAAAAAAGGTGAGAGGGATGGAGAGATGAAGGTGACAACTCCCCACCAAAGCGGTCCTTGAGCCTCTAGCCTTGGGGTGACAACAGCAGCCCATTCCGCGAGCTTCAAGCTGCTCTGCTAGCTGAGATAGCCCCCACCCCTCCAGACCACCTGTGTCTTGCTGTGACATCTGTTGTCACCCCGTCCCTCCACCTCTCCCACCCTGCCAGAACCTGAGTCTGACACCAGGGGTCCCAGCCTTGGCCACCCAGGTCACACCATCTTGACTCTTTCCAGAACCCCCTGCTGGTCAAAGCAAGCTTCACTTCTCATTCCGCTTGCTTCCCAGAAAGTCACCCACCTGACACCAAGGGCAGCACCTCCCACCGGGACCCCGTTCTTACGTCGCCATTCTTATATCTCCCACCCCCGGGGCTTCTATTTAATGAGCAGCCCAGTGACATGGCGCACCTTGCTGGGGTCCCACTGCATGCCTGGGCCTCAGCATCCCAGCACACTGACCCCATGTCTTGTCATTGCCATGTGATGTAGGTAGGAACTAGAGAGGCTGGACGGCTATCCTCTGTGCGGGTCCTTCTGTCCTGGTGCCGCTTTCTCTGTGAACTTAGCCAAAAACTGTGGGCCTGAGTCCCCGTTAGGACACATGTCCTTAGGCAGCGAGCCCGGCAGCCGCTGTCCAGTGCCTTGAGGGAGCTGGCCTGGATCCCCTGGCACCCAGGCAGAGGCCACCATGTGCTGATCCTATACATGAGAAAGGACCTGGCTGTGACCTTGTGCCCTGTTTCCTGAGGGTGGCCACCTCCCCCCGGGTAACCCTTGTCCCCATCTGTTCCTCCCCAGGCAACAACTACCAGGGCCATGGCAACTTCGACTTCCCCCATGGGAACCCCGGTGGGACGTCCATGAATGACTTCATGCACGGGCCCCCCCAGCTCTCCCACCCCCCAGACATGCCTAGCACCATGGCCGCCCTCGAGAAGCCCCTCAGCCACCCCATGCAGGAAACTGTGAGTACCACCTCCTCCCCTTTCCTGACTTTTCCTCTCTGCCCCCCAGATCCCATCTGGGGCTTGTGGGGGCAGAGGGCCTCTCCCCTCAGGACCCTGCTGATGTGGAAGCCCTGCTCCCTCCCTGGTAAAGGGGAAAACCTAAGAACGGGGTCTGGGGCTCAGAAGGGCAGCAGAGGTCCAGTGTGGCCCATGAGCATCTATGAACTTCGCTGTTTTATTTAGTGTTTCGGGTTCTCCAGTGTTGGAGGGAGCACGGGCTCCTCCACACATGCGCATGACATGCACACAGGCACACCAGCACTCTATGACACTGCCATCTCTCTCCCTCACTCACACTCGCACTGATGCACAGGATCCCAGCCATGCCACATAGGACTTTATCTCACCCCAGGGTGGCCCTCACACCTGTGACTGGAGCTGGCTGACTTCCCAAGTCCCTATTAGCACAGGTTGAATGCTTCCTGTTTATCCAGTGTTTTCTGAGCTGTGCCCTGGTTCATTTATGCCAGGTATGAGCAGGGTAGGACAGAGGCCTTGTGCTCACAGACAACACTTCTGGAGGGGTCTGGGTAGGGAGAGAACAATTTGAGTTTTGGGGAAACTGAGGCCCAAGAGCTGAAATTCCTTGTTAGAGCACAGTCACTGGTCTCACCTCTGGGGCAAGAGCAGTTGTTGAAGACCATGCCAGCTAGAGAGAGGGGCCAGGTTCTCCCCAGGGCCTGGCAGTGGGTCCAGGGGCCTGGGTGGGAAGAATCACACCAGCCTTCACACCTGTCATGCGGCAGGAAAGGACGGGGCCTTGACCTTTCAGGCAGCAGACACTAACTGTGCCCTGTGAGGGCTCTCACCTGCTGGGACTAGGCTTCTCCTTCAGCAGCCCTGCTCCGTGGGACCTCGGCATAGCACACCCAGGAAACACACATGTGCATAAATCCATGTCCCAAGCCCTCAGGGGCCCTAACCTTGGAAGAAGGTGGCAGTGGCAGGGTCCTCCGCTTCTACTTCCTAGACAGGCTTGTTCCCGCCTTCTTTTGGCACCACTGCCCAAGCTGTGTGCAGGGGGCTGGGCCTGTGGGTTGGTGCTCCCCGCCTTACTCCCACTAGAAGGTAGCCAGACCAAGAAGTACGGCCATGCCAGGTGGGGCGCGACGGTCAGTCAGGCATGCAGCTGGGAGGGGTCGCCAGCACACCTGGACTGGCCCCCTCCAAGCCATACCAGGGTTGTGTCCTAAGGCCAGGTAACCTCTGGCCCGAGCTAGGCACAGTCCTCTGCAGGGCAGGGAAGAATGCCAACAGGTGTTAGCGAGAGCTGGCAGCTGGGTAGCCTTGCCTCTTTCCCAGGCCTCTTCCCCACCTCCCTCCCTGTTCCTAGCCTTGTAGTTGTATGCGCCCCCACCCCCAGTTATTGAGGTCTGGGCTGGAAGCACACTGCACTGCCTGCCTGCTGTCCCATTAGAGTGCAGCCCTGCACCCAAGAAGGAGCCAACAGGGCTGTGGGCAGAGGCCAGCCTACAGAGGTAGCCTGGGGTGCTGCTTGTAGCAGAAAAGAGGAGCTGGGGTGACATGGCTGTTGGGGCCTGGAGAATGCACAAAGGAGGAGCTCAGAAATGTGTTCTGTGCAGCCAGACTGTGGGGCAGGGATGAGGGGACCAGAAGCCTGGCCGCAGGCACTTGGGACTGGAGCCCTGTCTGGCTGCTGAGTGATTGAGGGTGTGAGAATATCACCTGCACCCCAGGGAGAGCCCGCTGGGGACAGCAGCAGCCAAATGTGAGAGGGTAGCTGTATGCCCCCACTTAAAGGCCTGCCCGCGGCTGCAGACTCTAGTTGGTTTACTACAGGAACAGGACACCACCAGCCCCACCAGGGCACCCCCTGTGTGTGCCAGGAGGAAGGACCACTGTGTGCTGAGGTTGCCTGGTCACCCAGGTCCTGCCTGCCCCTTCTGGACATTAGTCAAGTGCCCTCCTGAGCAACCGGCCAGGGTGTGTGGTCTTGGTGCCCAGCCCAGGACCACTTGGGGCACAGTGCCAGTCTCGAGCTGCATGCCTGCCCTGTGCTGTGTGTCTGCGTCTGCTCTATGCCGCCCTGGCCCTCGGGGGCCCGCACTGCCCTGCTAGCAGCGCCCGCCGCCTCACCAAGCTCTGAACACGCCCATCCGGCTTCTCCATGCTGCCTCGCTGTTGTTTGTTGTGATGGTGTTGAGGTGGAGAGCAAAGGGCCTCAGAAGCGCCCACTCCTGAGCCCTTCTAGCTCTGAGTGGCCTGTTTTCCACCTCCCTCTTGGTCTTCCCTGATCGGCAGCAGTTTGGGGGAAGACAGACTTTCTGGAAAAAAAAAATCACCCAGGTGTGGTGGCGCAGGCCTATCATCCCAGCCTGGAGCCTGGCCTGCAGTCAATTCCAGACCAGCCTAAACTCATCGTGAGATCATGTCTTGAAAACAAGCGAGAGCTACCGCTCGGCTACAGGGGCGGCTTTGTTTTGGGGTTCGAGATCCCCTTGGTTTGTTGGGTTTCATTTTCTCCAGGCACCCGTCGCTGTGCCTTGTCACCTCACCTCTCTTCTCTCCTGCTCTCTCCTCCTCCAGATGCCCCACGCTGGCAGTTCTGACCAGCCCCATCCCTCCATACAACAAGGTTTGCACGTACCACACCCCAGCAGCCAGTCAGGGCCTCCATTACATCACAGTGGGGCTCCTCCTCCTCCTCCTCCTTCCCAGCCTCCCCGGCAGCCGCCACAGGCCGCTCCCAGCAACCATCCACACAGCGACCTGACCTTTAACCCCTCCTCAGCCTTAGAGGGTCAGGCCGGAGCGCAGGGAGCATCCGACATGCCGGAGCCTTCGCTGGATGTAAGTTGGGGTCACACCGTGTGCCTTGGCCTGGGGCCAGGCCTGACACCAGGACCTGCCCGAGAGAAGGGGGGGTGCTGAGGGCAGGACGCCCCGGTGGGAAAGCCGGGTGGGTGAGGGTGGGCCCCAGCCAGCCTCCCCTGGCTCCAGCACCAGGAAGCCCCATGTGGGGAGTCCCTGAGGGCCCTGCCCCCAGGCCACAGTCCTGGCCCTAGCCCTGACCCATCCACCCAGCCCCGCAGGGTCCTCTGGTGCTCTAAAGGTAGCCCGGAGGGTTCCTCTCCTCTTTCCCAGCCCTGTCCTCACCCCGCCCCATGTTGAGCTTGCTGCCTCTGTGTCTGCCCCTCTCCGGCCCTCAACCAGAGCAGCATTGGGCAAGACGGGGCCCACTGTCTTGCCAGTCGTGTCTGTCTGCAGTGTTTTGTCCACGTGTTGTCCATTCCCTGCTTCCGCTTGCTCCATCGCTCCCCCAAAGCAGCCCCTGCGTGGGAGACAGGAGGGGGAGGCGGTGGGATTGCCTTCAGTTCACCGCCTGGGTTGGAGCAGCCGAGCCTTGGGAGTCTCCTTCCTCCAGACTAACCTGGTCTGGAAGGTGGGGGACATGGAATGAATGGTTGGGGCCGGGGGGCAGCTGGACAGGGCTGGCTGGGAGGGGACAGGACACCCCTACGGGCTGGGCTCTGCCACTCCTGTCCCTCCCCTCCTGGCCTTCCTCTGTCAAAATGCTTGATGGAAAGTGACAGCCATTTTGGTGGGCATCTGTGTGTCCACTTGGCCCCCGCCAGGCCAGCGCGAGGCTCTTTAGTTTCATGAGGCCCCTCCCTCTGTGAACATAGACTCCAAGTCACAGAAAAGGGTAGAGGACAGTGGGCCAACCACAGGCTCACCAGTGAGCTCTGGGTGACCTCTGAGGGGTCCCGCCGGCCCCCCCACAACCCAGTCCTCATGCACCCACAGGACGCCCTCTGGCCTCTACTGGGTGACCCACAGCTGCTCATGGCAGGTCTGAGGGGCCAGAGGGACACTCTGAGTCAAGTGTGGTGGTACACCTGAAATCCCAGCCCTCTGGGAGACTGAGGCAGGAAGACTGCAAGTTGGGGCCTAGCCTGAGTAGTTTAGCCCAAGGCTGTCTCAGAATTTTAGACAGCTGGGGTATATAGCTCAGTGCAAAGGCCCTGAGTCCAGTCTCTAGAATGAAATAAATAGACACCCCTCTGCTTTGTTTCTGCACTAGTGGGCTAAAGTCTCCTCTGTTCAGGGCTTGAAGTGAGCGTGCGTCTTGCCCCCAAAAGGCAGGGTGGGCCAGGGCCCCATGCGACAGTTGTCAGAGAAGGGCAGAGGCTGTGGGACCCTTGTGTCCAGCAACCCCTCATGAGGACCCCAACTTCCTCTTTTGCAGCTCCTGCCAGAACTCACCAATCCTGATGAGCTCCTCTCCTACCTGGACCCCCCTGACCTTCCAAGCAATAGCAATGACGACCTCCTATCTCTCTTTGAGAACAACTGAAGGCCCCCAGCGGGGACATCCCCCTACTCTGCCTCCTGCCCTGTCTTCCCCTCACTCTTGCACCCCAGGAGCCCGCGCCACAGGCCACCCCTCGCTGGGACCATAGGCTGGGGTGGCTGGGGAAGGCTGTGTGGGGCCACAGCCAGTGCCCCCCTGAACGCCCTGGGCCAAGGCTATGGCCAGAGCAGGTCCTGAAGACGACCCACAGAGGGGCGCAGCCTGGCGACAGGCAGTCGACCTTTTGGTGCCCCCAAGGTTCTTCCATTTTCTAAACTATAGCCCATTCACTCCCTGCTTCCTGGCCTGGAGCCCTCTTCAAGTGACTGGAGCTGAGAGAGAGCTCCCCGAGACCACAGGACCCCAGCCTCCAAGGAGCAGTGATAGTTGCTACAGTGATAAACGGCTGCCCTCCACAGAAAAGCACAAACCCCCAGGAAGGAAGAAATCTCTGGGGCCAAGGGCCGGGGCTCTGACCTCCAACCTCTAACCAAGAGATGCCCTGTGAATGCTCCCTCAAGGCAGAGAGGAGAGGACAAGGTTCTGTATCTGAGGGAGGGGCTGCTATTCCTGCTTGGGGACTGGTGGGAAAGAGGAGACGGGGCCCCTGGAGCCAAGACAGTGCAACAGGGGGATCTGCCTTGGGGGAATCAGAGGAGGACCCCACCTTGGGGGGCAGAGTGAGTGTGTGTGGGCATCCAGCCAGAATAATTGTGCCCTGGCCTGGAGACCGTGGGGGATGTCACCAGCCAGTGTCACCTCAGAGCCTGCCACTCACAACTTTGCCCCAAGCCACTCGCTGTTCAGTTCAGACTTCGGTTGACAGCTCGGAAGGACAGGAAAGTAACCCTTGGATGGCAAGCAAACAAACGTTTCCCTCCGTGTGTTGTTCCCCGCCGCCACCCACCCGCCTCTGCAAGACTGTTCCACGGGACACCCACTCCCCTCTGTCCTCTGTCCGCCGGGCAGCTGCAGTGCAGCAGAGGCAGGCCCAGCGCAGGACATGCAGCCTCGGGGCAGGAGGATCTCGGCACCCGCATCAGTCCAGCCTCCGTGTCCGCCATCCACTCATTGCTGTATACTCCAGAGTGTCTCTGTGGCCACTTGTGGTGTCCCCATGGCACCAGCCTCCCCCGCTGAGCTCGCTCCACAAGAGCACCTCTCTCTGGTCTTCCTTCACTGCTTAACTCCCCCCGCTTTGGGGTCCCCAGGGTGCTGGTCTATGTCCCCTAAGCCTCACAGCCTGTGGTGATGCTGGGTTATCCGGTCACTCAGGTCCCATCTGTAAATTCTTTGCGCCCTTTCCTGCTGCTGCCGCCCAGGGCGTTCTGCCCTGCTATCCGCTATCACCATCACCCTCCCGGGTCCCTCTGTGGTGGGTGGTCCCCAGCACTCTTCTGTGGCTCGAACCAGAAAGGTGGCCTCAGCTGTGGACACGAAGTCACTGTATCAAACGGCACAAGGTTTTCGGAAGGAAAGCTGTCATCCCCCCCCCACCCCTTCTCTTCCTTTGTCTCCCGCTGTCGTTATTGTCCTCAAGGTTTTTTCAGACAGTGTGTTGTTCAGTATGCAAATCACTTATTTTAAGAATCGCTTTTGTAAATATCTTTGTGAATATTTTAGTATTGTCTTTGATAATATTCAACATTTTCATGACCTGGTTATAGCATTTGCTGGTGTTTTTAAAATACCTTGACTCAACAACAAAAACCGAGTCCTTTTTTAAAAAAACAAAAAAGCAACCAGGGCTATTTGTACAGATGAGGGACAAACAGAATGAGTGGCTTTGTGGGAAGTTGGAAAACTAGGCAACCCCCTGCTGAGAGCCATCCCCAGGTCAGCTGTGGGGACATCTCCAGGTAGCTTGTGGCTGTCCCTGTCCTGTGCCTGTGGCCCAGCAGGTGGCCATATTCTGTTTCTGACCATCTGGAATGTTCAGCTGTAGACAAAATGACAGATGCCTTTTTGAGCAACTCCTGCTTCCCGCCATGAGACTTCACCCCAGAAAGACTTGGGGTTCCTGCTGGGGCTTGTCACAGTGCCCCCAGATCCTGTGTCCAGGCCTGGCCTCAGCTTTCTAGTGCAGAGGTTCTAGCTGCTCCCAGCAGCCCCGGCTCCAGGCACCTTGCTGCGGTCTCTGGGTGGGTGCCTCTGCCTGGTTTTCCGGGGTCCCTCCGCAAGCAAGCCTCCACCAGCAAGCTCATTACAGAGCTTCCCTCCCGACCAGCTCTGACCCGTAGTGCCTGCAGCCCTGGCTCTGGGAACCGGAGTGACAGGTGCTCAGCCAGGGTGTAAGGGACAGGCAGCCACCTCGGGCTCGGGTGCAGGTCAAGGCAGCCGCGTGGGCAGAAGCAGGCCCAAGCTCTAGAAAGATCCCTCCCTGATGTTCTCAGATGACAACTTGCAGCCATAAGTAACCTCAGCAAAAATGGGGCCTCAGCAAGACACCTTCCCATGACAAGCATCCACCCACCCGTGGCACGATTCTGCCGCCACTCCACAAGATGGACGGGAGCCAGCGGGCAGGCAGAAAGGGCCCGGAACAGGCAATCACCCCCATCTCCTTGGTTTGAAGCTTTATCATGTTCCCTGTAGCCATTTTATTTTTTAAGAAACTTCTAATCCTTTCTCTCTGACGGATGCCCTAACCCCCAGAGAGCTACAGGTCTGCTGCCGGTGGGCCTCGGGCCTGACCCGTCCAGACAGGGCAGGTGAGCAGCAGCAACTCAAGGGACGTGTGTACATATGTAAATGAAAAATAGGCCTGTCAACTGATGCATTCATTTCTTTTGGAATGTGTATTGTTTTTATTTTACAAAGCAAAACAAAACAAAAAAAAATGGCTTGGAACTCCATCTTAACGTGAAAAAACTAGATCCTGTTTGTTAGTTTGTGAGCTCTCCACCTCCGTCTCACTCGTGTAATATACTCTGACCTGTGTGGAAAGGCAGTTCTGTTCTGTTTTTATTTTACCTCCATGTACTATTTAGCTTCAGCGTATCTAGTCCTGCCACCTGTGTATTTTTAGGGTGCTATGGATATAATGAAAAGAAATGGGGATTTCAGAAGGCGATTGTAACCAAATTCATCCTTTGTATAATTTTTTATATCATGATCACAGGTGATTCACTCGTACCCACATCTACACGCCCACCAGTGGAGCCTGGAGTGACTCCCGCAGAACCGTCACCGTCTCTGTACATCACGTGTACAATGCAGAGAGGTCATTTCATACTTTCAGCCGCTCAGAAAAACTAATTGTGATTTCTAGTCTTGCAAAGCTGTATGTAGTTAGATGTGACAACCTCTAATATTTATCTAATAAATATGTATTCAGATGAAACCTGTATATTAGGTGTTCATGTGGTTATTTTGTATTTAAAGATCAAATTATTTGACTACTGCTAGACATTTCTATTCTCTGTTGTAACACTGAGGTATCTCATTTGCCCATGTTAATTTTTTTTTTTCTAAATAAATGGACAAAAATGAAGGTTTTGGTGAATTAGCGATTTTTGTGGCTGTGAAGGTCTGGGTGTTTTCTGCTTTTGTTTTTAAACCGCCACCCCGGTCCCGTCATGGTGCACGCATGGAGGAATGGAGGTGGAAGGTGCTTGTCCTGCAGGAGGCCCTGGGCCCTGGGATAGGTGGTGTCCAGGGTCCCATGTTCTCGCCTCCTAGAGGGACGCTATCTCCAGGGGGACAAAAAGAGCAGGCTGGATTTGGAGCCCACACAGAGCCAGGTCTTCCTGTGGTGCTGGGGTGGTTAAGGGTAGTGGATGGTGGCCTGTCTCTCTACTCCTTCATGGATTAAAGAGCGGACAGACAACTGGGGCTACTGACAACTGGGAGCTGTCGGAAGCATCCAGGAGGGAAGACTGCAGGCCCATTCGGGCACCTCGGCCACAAGTGAAGAGTACACAGCTGCCCTCCCTGGGGCGATCCCTCTTGGCAGGTGCTGGGCAGGCACCCCAAATACACCCACCAGTGTTGCTATGTGATAGGAGAGGGAAGAGTTGTTCCCAACTTCTTGGTATCCTGAACATAGGCCTGAGCAGGATACTCCAAAGCACCAACTAAAGTGAGATTTAGTCAAGCCAAGAGGTGACAGCCCCCTCTACAGGAGTGCAAGAGAGCTAGGGAGAAGAGCTCAGGACTCCCGGACAAGCCACCCTGGGTTTCTTAAGGTCCTGGGATTATGGGAGAATCCACAGTTAGGGGTTGACAGAACTCATGGTCCAACAGGATACCTGACGCTTGGCCCACATGTCTGGGGAGAGGAAAGGGTGATCAAAGTTTTAGAGGAACTCTCATGATGTCTAAGGCCCATGCAAGTGGGAAAACTACAATGCAAGTAAGGCTGGGCAAGGTCATGTGTTTTGGGGTTTGTGTATGCCTGGGGGTCCTGTATTGGCCTCTTGGTGTTGTGACATGGGGGTCCCACAGCTGCTTGTTTACATGTCTGTGTTCTACCTCCTGCATCCCAGGACTCTGGAGGGCTCTGGGCAGAAGCAGTGGGATGACCTGTAGGGACACCAGGACATCCCCTATGCTCAGGGGGCCAGCATGTCTCTTTGGGGTTCGAGATGGAAGGTGAGAAAAGGATTTATGCTACAAAAGGAATCCTGGTCACTACAGCCTAGGGTACCACCCTCTGCCAGAGTCACACAGAGAAGGGGTGGTTAGCATGGAGTCTAGAGTCCCGGATAGGCAAGCCCCACTTTCCATTGCCTTAGAGCAGTGACTACAAGGAGCTGTGAAACCGGTGGGGATGGGGGTGGGGGTGCCGTGCTCGATGACACATGGAAATAGAAAAGAAAATCTCAGGCTTGTACAGAGAAAAAACAAGGACTCGTGGAGTAACTCCAAGGGTGCACTACAAGACAGTCATGATACAAGTTCTTACTTGTGGGTTGTGGCTAAAAACAGTTTGACGAAATTGCCTTCGAGGTAGGAAGTGCACATGGTAGGGCCAGGGAAGGAGGACCTTCCCCAACCGTGGATCCAAATAAACCTTCCTGGGGTATGAACCTGACGCCCTGAAACCAGGGACAGACACAACCTGATCCAGGATTGTGGTGACCCCACGGCTTCACAGAGACCACCCAGAGTGGCTCATCTGACTCTGAAAGGGTCCCTCCTACAGATCCTCCTACAGTGGCTGGATGACAAATGTCCACTGAGAAGTCCAGAGGAGTCTGGCCTGCAGAGGGATGTTGGAGCTTGTCCCCCCCCCCACACACACAGGGTCACATGCAAGAGTCACTCCACCCAGCCCACCTCTGGGCTGCAGGGTCCTACAGGGGAAGTCATTCAGCCCCATAGGGGGCACCAAAACACACAGGATCTCCAAGCCCTCAAGACCCCAACAACTCAGTGTCCTCCCTCCCTGTGGCCCATTTCCTCAGGCTCTGGGCCAGCCTCAAATCCGTCCACACCCACCTTTCTCTCAACACAATCCCCAGCCTACACAAGGCCCACTGACCACACGCCTCCCACACCCCCACCACATCAACTCCTCCTCCATCTTGCCTCACCGAGGCCACCTCCTTGTCTCCCTAGAGAGACTTGAGCAGCAGCTCTCCCCCCCCCCTGTACCTTTCCTCCCTCCCCAGTCTGGGGCCTTGGCCCTAGCCTTGCAAGGCTCACCCAGGCTCTCTCCACCCCAGCTGCCTGGGTCCTCTGCTCTGCACAGCCTCCTCTGGCGAGTCAAGCCGAGGCTCCTGTCACTCCCTCCATCCCTGCTCTGTCTGCAGCGCACGCCCTGCGCCCCGCCCCTCATCCCACCCGTGGCCTCTGGGCTGCTATCATTCGTGCAGTTTCTGGAGCCCGGACCTCGAGGGCTCACATGGCTGTTGGCCTTGCTTCGTGGGATTCCACAACACCATCCTCTCCCCATTCTTGAATTATCTTGGGCACCTTCTGTCTTCTCAGGTTCCAAAGTGACCAGGCATCTGTGAAGCCCTGGGAAGTCCCAAGAAGGCCCTTTATCTCTACTGCTATAGCATGGACTGCCAACAGCGGACTGGGACCTCTTGCCTGGGAGGTGACAGCTCTCTGTGCTACACTAAGAATAACAGGATGATGGCCCCACTCCTCCCTGGGTACTACTGGTGACCCTGGCCCTAAGCCTATCCCTGCTTGGCTGTCCCCTTCCCTGCCCTCCTTCTGTCCCTCCCGAGTCCCACCCCTTCCGTGCCTCATGGCCCTCTGTGTGCCAGTGCAGTAAACAATCGCCACTCCATATTGCAGCATCTATGTTAAGTTTAACTATCTCACCCCCAAAGCGGCTCATTGCCTTGGTCACTTTCTTGTCACTCATCACCTGTCTTGGCCATGTTCTGGCCTTTGGGAATTAATACCTGACACCGCCAAATTAAGAGGAGAGGTTTACTCTGGTTCCATGATCAGCTCCAAGGCAGAGTATCACAGCAGAAGGGGAATGGTGGAGAAAACACTGCTCACACCATGGCAGCCAGCAAGAAGAGAGCAAAAGGAGGACACAGGGAAGGAGAGAAAGCCTGCCCGTGACAGTGACCCGCCTCCAGCAGGCACCACCTCCCAAGTATAAGCCAGTTCTAACACCCCATCATTTCCACAGCCCACAGGGCTTTGGGGAGATACCTGGGTGTAAGCCCTAACATCCTGCCTAAGGGTTTCCAGATCTGCACCTCCTCTCTGTTCCTTGGGGTCCAATCCTGGTCTCTGCTGCATACAGCAACCTCCTGGTGACCACACCAAGGGACAGCTATGTACAGACTCCTGCCTGGCCTGATGAGCCCACGGCCCAGGGGGACTGTGCAGACCTGCCACCTTTCAATCACGGGGTGACCTTCTGGAGCCATGTGTAACTGTTTTAGCCTGATAACCAGAACTTTTCATGGAAACCTATTTGGATAACACTGTGGACCCAACAAAAGTGTCACCAGCCAGGCCTTTGCACAGGCTCCTCATGCTGTTCCTGTCCTCTGCAGGGGTAGGGAGTGGGGGGTGGGAGTGGCCTCCAGGCCTGACCCCCAGGATGTGTAAGTAATGCAATCTTCATTTCTGCCTGTATCTCTCTCAATCATCAAAGGGATGTTCTCAATCTTACTGATCCTAAATTATAGTCCCAGTGTCAGTCTCTGATCCTAGGGAGGAGACCCATGACAGAGGTGCCAAGAGTGGGCAAGGGTGAGGTGGGTGCAGGCCCCAAGGAAAGGATCTTAGCTAGACTCCTGCCCAGGTGGAAGTGGAGACACAGCCAGTAGAGATTGCCAGTGCCTAGCACGGGATGGCATTGTACCAACTGTGGAGACCTGGACTGGGTCAAGTCTTTGGCATTTCAGAGGATGGGGAGAAAATAACTAGGTATGAACACTGTGGAAGTGGGTGGCTATTGGTCAGGGTCAGTGATGCACCGAAGAAAGGGAACTGTAGTTGCACGTTTCTTAGCTGACAGTTTACAATGAAGTGTGAGAATGAGAAGAAATCACTTGGCAAGAAGCAGTGAGGGCAGGCAGAGTGCAGACTAGCAGACAGGCTTTATTGCCAAAGTGCCAGAACTCAGAAAAAGCTGAATTCTCTGTCAAGTCTGGTCTGCTCTACCAAATCACGCCCCTAGCGGTGGGGAGAAGGAGGTGCCTAGTGTTGGACCTGGGACTATCCCAATAATACCTCGTCCTTGGCATGCAACTGTGGCCACATGGAGGAGGGTTTACCACGGCCTGGTGACACAGAAGAGAAATTCCTGAGCTTGGTTCCCAGATGGGTTGACGTGGTGGATGGGTGCCAGCCCAAAGTGGGCCATACCTGCATCCTAGCCTGCCACGGAGAAGTCCCTGCAGCGGGTCAGGTTTTGCGCAGTGCACCTGGTCATTCACACGGCAAGAGCAGTGCCTACGATGAGGATGGACTTGTGGGTGGTCATGAATGGCTTGATGAGCGGTCAGAGGCCTGCAGAGAGCAAGTCTGGACTGTGAGATGAGGAGACCTGGGAAGGAGTTGTATGGTCCTACAGGAGCAGGGAGAACTTGGGAAGATCCACCCATCCCATCTTAACACCCACCTCGAGGAGGAGTCTACCCCTCCTCAGGGGAGGAGAGCCATCTGTTAGGAAAGAGGCCAGAGGCGCTGGCCATCAATGTCAGCCAGTCTCTGACCTTGCCCTCTCCTCCATCAAGGGCTTGTACAATATAGGCTCATGAGCACAGTATCACAGCAACAGTGACAAACCTAAACATGACCTCAAAAGCCATCAAGGCTGATCTAGCTACTGCTGTTGTTGAATGGGGAACTGTCACCAACAGACACCAAAACAGAGCCTCTGATAAAATAGTACCCCAGACAGAGACAAACTAGCTATTTGGC